AAGGACTTGTGTCGTTAAAGTTTCGTCGGAACGAAGTTACGGAAAAATCAATTAACAACCGGAGACGTAACAATACTAAGGAAGGGGTAGTGTTACGATAGCGGAATTCACGTGACACTGGTAACACGTGATGAGTTTCTAGAAGGATCATGAAGGCCCGAGTGTTTACCAGACGCCCTCCATTTTAGTATATAAGCCCGGCAAATAAGTTGCAGATAGAGACAGATAATTGAGCCAAGTGAGTGGTAGTGACCGTGAATCGTTGTGAATTATAGCGTGTGTTCAAGTTAAAGTGACTGTGGAAATTAAGTGTATTGCAAAGTTGTATTGATAAAGAATAAACTAGTTTTAGTTAAGAAAAAAACTTGTATCGCTTAAGTTCCTCGAGAAGAATTTTTACTGGAAATTATCAAACGACCAGAGACGTAACAATACATATAAAGTTTGTTTGTTTTGTTTGTTTGTTTTTTAATTATGCACAAAGCTACACAAGGGCTATCTGTTCTCTGCCCACCACGGGTATCAAACCCGGTTTCTAGCGTTGTAAGTCCACAGACATATCGCTGTGCTACTGGGGGGCTACATATAAAGAGCAAGAAACTAATGCTCTCAAACTGTTGCTTCTGCAAAAAATATCTGATATCCAAAGATGCTTGGGGAGTTTCGTATTTGTCCAAAAGTGTATTTTACAGTGGCAAACACATAATGATGTCTATTAACAATCTTAGAACTCTTTCAAAGGACAACTATCTAAACTTTTTTACTAAAGCGGTATACCAATGAAAGTGTATTTATAATGTGTAATACATTGTTTTCCCTGTACAATAGCAGCAACAGGTCAGTTTTATAACCAGAAAAACAGGAGACCTTTTGCGTAGTGTGTAACACAGACAAATATCCAAATTCATTTTGTTTACAAATCATGAAGTAAACAAAATATGTAAAATAAATATCATTAAAGTATTACTTACTTAGAAGGTTAATTTGTGTTTTGCTTGAATATTTTTACTTAATCGATGTTTCGCTTCAAAAAGAGTACTATACGCAAGCGCGCCCTGGGGGCCTTCTTATAAACTGTTTTCTTGTGATAATTATATTTTGACGGTAAACTGTAAGTGTAATTCTAGTTAATAAAGAAATGTTATTAAGTATTAACAAAAGGGCGGAGTTCGCCTACTTAGTTATGAAAAAGTAAAATAAACTTCAATTTTCCAAGTTTTATTTTCAATAATTAAGAAACTACCTAAAATGTTCTGCAGAGCAAGGTATGTGTCCTCGTCACTCTTGTTTCACCCGAAGTCGAAGATACGCTTTTTACGACAAATAACAGTGACAAAATTTTTTTATAATAACCTGCAAACAATCGTAAAAAGTAAACCTTATTTTCAGAGTCATCATCGTAAGTACTACGCCGTTTTCCTTTGTGCTAGTACTTTTGGACTTTATGAGGTTGCACGATATGTAACTAAAAATAAAATAAGTGAAACTGAAAGTGACACAGATATTACTATTGTTACCCAGGAAGGGGAAAATTATTTGAATAGAACATCTTCATCATCTCTTTCCCTTGCTATTAAAAAAGGAAGGGATATAGTGCAAAGAATTAAGGTAAGCATAAATAAAGTTTAATTACACATTTTTTCAGTATGCATTATACAGTAATGCAAAGTATCATATTCACGTGAGTGTAATTTCACAATTAAATAAAGCAGAGAAACTTCTGGGGAAACTATAAAAAAAAAAAGTCGGTGCTTCCTTTGGTTTGTTTGTTTGTAACTAAGCACAAAGCTACACAATGGGCTATCTGGGCTCTGCCCACCACGGGTATTGAAAACCGGTTTGTAGCATCGTAAGTCCACGGACATTCCAATGTGCCACTGAGGGGCGACTTGCTTTGAACCAACACGATTATCTTCACTCATTAACATGTTTTGTTGTTGTTGTTGTTTTTTGGAGGGGGGGGGGAGACTATGGTCTAAAAGTAAGTACAGATATTTGCTGTCCAAAGCAAAATTGGTAGACTTTTAAATGAAGAATTGGAGATTAATTTTTTAAATCTTTTAACATAATTCATTCTGGAGAAAGTCAAATGTTTGGCCAAAGGTAAAAGTAAAACTACTTTCACACTATCTTTAAATAGCTAATCATTGGCAAAATGAGAAACAGTACAATGTGTAAATTTAGAATGAATAGAAAGTTAAGACTACAAAAAATTATTATTAATTTGATAATAAGCATGCTGTTTACTTTATATTATACACGGTGATCATAAAAAATGTTTTGCAGTTAAGCACATCATATCTCACAAATGGTATGGCACCGAAAAATGAAATTGCACAGCATGACTTCATTTCAGATTCTTCCACAACCAGAAATCAGCTAATGCTAGGTCTGATGAATGAATCAGCTATTCAAGGAAAGTGATGTGAAATGAATCTTTCTTGAAAGTGTTCCCAAAAGATTTGTTTTACTTGGTTATCAATATGCAAAGGGTACCATCCTACATAATTTCCAATTTTGTTGCTACAACATGGGAATCACATTGCTTGTGAGAATTGTGTGGTATTGTGCAGCATTGGCTGTGCAGGTTTAGAGTCTGTGTGCTGATCATTCTTCAAAAAGTAAGATCCAATAATAACAGATGTGAAACCATGCCACCTTAGCAATATATGGTTCACAGGTCAAATTTGTTCTGCCAGCTCATTTTGTATAGCCTGTGACATGAAATTATAGTGCACAAAGTTGAAAGTTTTTTTTTTGTTCATTAGATGGAAATATTTTTGTCTGTTATTAAACTTAAGAGTTTCTGCATCATAATTTAATAGAATTTTTTTTAAGTAGTCTTTATAGTTGGTAGAAACGCAAAGGGCTTAAAAATTTTTTGGAGGAAGAAATATTATAGCCCGACAAGTCTCATTCACATTCCAAGTTGGCCCCCAAAAAAATTGAGTTGTGCACCCGTCTTAGCATTATGGAGTTGTGTAGGAAATGTTACATGTGGATTAGTTTCTGACCAGATATTGCAGTTGTGCATGTTGAAACTTCCAGAAAAGTTGAAGTATGCTTCATCAGACCATAAGATATTGAAACTTCCACAAAGGTTGAAGTACAGTAGAACCTTGATATTAAGAGCACCCTTCCGACTGCATCTAAATTGTGCAAATTGTTTCAGGTCAAAAGCCCATTGTTGTGCTTGCACGAATGACTTGACGTTAGGGGATGGTGGTTCTGGCTCAGGCAAAAGGGTTGGCACCTCATCATCCAAAGTTGTGTCATCACTTTGAGAAGGCTTTCCTGCAATGTCATCTGCAATTTATTGCTCCCAACCCTCTTCAAATTCTTCTGGGGCTGGAGCATCTTTGTCCCAGTCTGCAAACTGTGCAGCAGTAAAAACTTGTTCATTTCCAGTTTTCTCTGACCGATGTGCCATCAGATCACTTATTGGAATGTTGTCTTTCTTGTCATCTCCAGGAATTGTTCAAATTTCTTCATCCACTTTGATTCCAGAGAAACGGAAGCACTTCTGTACAGTTGTGGCTTCATTTTCCTGACTGCTTCTGCAACCCAGTAACAGGCATCAAGCATGTACACTTCTTTAGCAGCAATGTTGGCATCTGTTGTGGTTTTCAATTTTGCTAGGACAACTCAAAGAAACTGTTTTCTATAGAGAAATTTCACAGTTTTAATGACATCCTGGTCAAGGGGTTGCAGGATTGAGGTGCAATTAGGAGGTAATAATAGGACACGGGTGTTTGCGAGTTGCATGTTGCCATGATATGGAGCATTGTCAACAACCAGCAGAACCTTCTGGCCATTCCTCGTAGAGACTGCTGGTCATTCATTCCTTTTTTCCATCTGTAGGTTATGGGGAGGGCAGTTTCTTCACATTATGAAAGCAATAGGGTTTTCATGATGACCAATGACTTTTCAAACACTCCCATACACTGACTTGACCCCTGCTTCAAGAACATGATGTGGAATTTATCAGATTATGTATCCTACAGTGTTTACAAAGAGAATTCCACAGAATATTAAGATTTCACTTTGAATCTGTGAAAACATTTATTACAGTATATGGTTCAGAGCCGATCCAATAAACATCGCAAGTGTTTGAATAGTGGTCATTCTTTAGGGATGTTTGGAATTTAGCAGTATACTGTAAGGCATACAAAAATGTTTGTGCACATAGTTATAAAATCCTACTTCCCTTTCAGGAAACTTATTCATCAACCAATAAATACTCTTTATTCACAAATGCTTAAATTTTAGTTAATTTTATTAAACATAGAAGAATAAAAAAAATACATTGAAAACTAAGATGTTGAGTATTTACAGTCATGCATAATAGTAAAGTTATTTAATAAAATTTTGAAAATAACTCTAAAAGGACATGATATGTGCAATTTAACCTGCCCACAGCAAAAGGGTTAACTGAGAATGATACCAAAGACACTGCCCTTAATCTGGAATATTGAGGTGCCTGTTATTGCAAGATTTATTTTGGTTACAAATAATAGAAAAAAGAGACTGAAAAGGTTTACTTTTAATGGCACGGTGCCCATTGTTTCAAGTTGTCCATTATTTGAGGTTCTACTGTATGTTTCATCAGATCATAAGATATTGGCAGGTTATTGTTGTGCATGTTGAAACTTGCAGAAAGGGTAAAGTATGCTTCATCAGACCATAAGATATCAGCAGGTCATTGGTAATTGACTTCCAGTCTTGCTTAGAATCACAACAAAAAATTGACAGGCTAGTTTTTACGTTTAATCCATTTCCTTCAGTGCTTGAACATGACGAAGCTGGTAAGGAAACATTTACAAAGTTGACCCAAGAGCTTATTTATATACAGTTGAAATTTCCAAATCCAGACACTGACCAACATGATATGCACCTATGTGCACTTGTGCCTGCTTGTTCTGTTACATTATGGCTAACCTGTTGTTGGTGGCCTGCTTGTACATGGCTTATTTCAAGTGTAATCTGGTGTAATGCATTTCACTAGTTCACTTCTTTTCACATGTCCTGTAGTGGCACAACAGTAAGTCTTTGGACTGAATGCACTAAATTCAAGGTCTCAATACCTGTGGTTAGCACAGCACAGCTAGCTCTTTGTATAGCTTTGTTTTTAACTATAAATAAACAAAAAAATCACTGACTGCACACTTTTCAGTTTCATGTTGGTTGAATGAACTGCAATGTTACTGACCCATTTATACCCATGGAAGATAGGGGAAAGAAATCACAGTGGTGCTTGTGGTAGCAGTATGTGACAACTGCAATTTCATCTTTATATACAATATCATATATGGATGTTAAATTAAAAATTACCCTTAAAATATGACTCTCTCCTTCTTTCTATATATATATATATATATAATGTAGGTTGGGAAATTCTTATTTTATGTTTATAATTATTGTTTTTCTAACCTGTAGGTATGTTGTAAAAACATAAGACAATCTTGTTGCTCTTAATGGTCAGAAATATGCTGTTTATTGTTTAAACTAATAGATATACTTTTGCTCATATATATTTAATTCATAATCTCTAATCAAATTGTAAACCTGTTGATCCATAGTTGCAAGAAATAATAATTAACAGTAAGTAATACATCAGATAATAATGTTGGGTAAAAAAACAGTGCATGTATCTTTAGAGGAATTCATGTTTTCTTATCACAACTTGTACATCATTATAAAATTATATATAAAACACAGAAAAATCAAGTTAGCAAGAGGTTATTAAGACATTCTTTCAACCATCAAATTATTCAAGGCATCATCTAAGAACTGATTCCAACCTTTTTTTTAACCATAAACTTGTGTTATAAAAATTTAACTACCAGTACACACCTCATCGTCTGACAATGTTGTTTCACAAACTCATATTTTGAAAAAGGGGAACAATTTTACCAAAATAGAGGTATGGATGTAAACTTCTATATATCATCCCTGATATTCATGTTTGCATTCTCAACTTTTTCCTTCCACCACTCACAGGAAAGTATATTATTCACTATGATATTTTTTTACCTGGTTGTTGAGACACAGTCAAAAGAGGATTTATTTCATTGATGTTGTTATTGATATACAAAATACAAATGGGAACAGAACATTTCATGTATAAAGTGTAATAGAAAACAAAAAACACTACTCATTGATTAGAGTTAGGATAGACTATAATATTGAATCAAGATATTCACAGGCCTCCTAGTGAAACCTTTGAAAAATATAAAAACTTTTATTTTTTGTTTTCATCCTTCAATTTCTTTACTTTTGCTTAAAATAAGTAAAAAAACCTGTAAATTTGAAAGTAAACCTTTACTTCAAACCAAAAACATTGCCACAAAATATTGGATACTGTAGATGTGATATTACCAAAGCTATACAATGTAGATCCATGAAATATAATAATTTCACAGCATTTTTGCTGTGGGAGGAATAATTCAGACTTCATTTACCAGCATTATCAGAACTTAAATGGTAAAATATCATTAGGCCCAGCATGGCCAGGTGGTTAGGGCTCTTGACTCGCAATCTAAGGGTTGCGGGTTCGAATCCCCATCCCACTAAACATGTTCACACTTTCAGCCATGGGGAGGTTATAAAGTGACAGTCAATGCCACTATTTGTTGGTAAAAGAATAGCCCAAGAATTGGTAGTGGGTGGTGATGACTAGCTCCCTTCTCTCTAGTCTTACACTGCTAAATTAGGGACGGCTAGTGCAGATAGCCCTCGTGTAGGTTTATGCGAAATTCAAAACAAACAAACCACAATATCATCACACATAAAGTAATGGATTTCTTCATGGAAGTTTTATGGGAATTCACATTTATAATTAGTCAATATAGATTATATATATATTTAACTCTGTTTTTTTGTGAGACCACATTTCTGCTGTGTATTTGTAGTGGTCCAATAGGAAGTTTGTATTAATTTTCAATAAACAATTTTCAAATGAATATTGCCTACAATATGTGAAGTTTCACATAGTATGCTTTAAAAGTAGTAGTGTTTTAACTATATTTCTGAAAGTATGTTTCTAATGCTATCTGCATTGGTTTTAATTTATCTAAGTTGTGTAATTGCATAAAATTTCACTATAGATGAAATGGCATGCCATTATTTTTAGACTGATATTATGAGATCTAATAGAGCTTGAAATTGGAGCACTTAGCAGGTTGTAATCTCTATTTTCATCTGATATTATTATGACTTAAAATTAAAAAAATATTTTTTTTTTTGTTATTAAAGGATGAATTTGGTGCTCCAGGAATTGTTGTGGGAGTGAGTGTCAATGGTCACACTGTTTGGCAAGAAGGTACTTATGTTTTATTATAATGTATTATATATCTTGACTGCTGTATGAAAAGGTAATTTTTTTCCCTACAACATATAATAGCTTAAAAGGTACAAAATTGGTAATAACCAAAATTATAATTTGTTTCAAGAGACTTTCATGTGTAAATTCTTGAAACATTTATACATATTTTTACAGTACTTAATACATGTGATTTTGTAAAAATGGGTACAGATTTTAGATTTATGAAGATTAGGTATTCATATATAATTTTTGAAACATCACCTTGTTAAAAATGTTGATTGATATAGAAGAGGGTTGTAGAGTACTTCACTGATGAGTGAAAAAAACAAATTGGTATTATAGTATTGTAATATGTCCTATTCTTGGGCAAGTCCTCTTTGTTTTAGATTATTTGGTAAGAATGATTCAAAGTCCAGTTGACGTAATGATAAATTAAATTCTTCAATAATGTTTGCTGCAGACAACATTGGCATTGATGCAAGTTGTAGTCCTTAGTTCATTAAATTTTCAATTTAAACTTTGATACTATTGTAGGCTTAATATACTAATAATGTTTAAGAGAAATTTCCTTTACTGGTAACAAATGCTGGCTACCTTGATGGTTAGTTTACATAAGTCTAACTCTTACTGAATAACTTTACTTGAGCAACATCTTACTTGACCATTCATTGAATAATACTCACTGAACTAACTGCTTAATCGTATTTATAACTTACATTCCAACGTCTAGATGTTAATTAAAGTTATTAGATTCTTGATGTCATTTTGAACTTTCTAGGTATTCTAGGACTATATGAACTTAGTTGAGCTTAATGTCAAGTGCTCTCTAGCAAATATGTAAACTAAAACAATGAAAATATAACTTACAACAATAGTAATCCAAGTTACTTCTTCAACTTATGGAAAAAATTAAATTTTCTGAATGCTGCAATAAATGGCAATATGAGAACCCTTTTAATATATTTAGAGATGAAGAATTCATTGCATGATTATAAATATATGCACAAAACTGTGATTTTGGACCCTGATAGAGAAAGAGATTAAGTGATGAATGCTTAAAATTAGCAAACTCTGCTTTAAATAAAACATGATTAGAACCAAGCTGCATTCTGTTAATCTAAAGCTAAAGTGATGTATATCTTAAGTACTAGGGGAGTCTCAAACTTCACTATTTTAACTGTTTGGTCATTTTAGGGTTTGGACATGCTGATGTAGAAAACCATGTTCCTTGTCACAAAGACACTGTAATGAGAATTGCCAGTATTAGCAAGAGCATAACTATGATAGCCATTGGGAAACTCTGGGAAGAGAAGAAGCTAGATTTAGATAAACCTATACAAGAATATGTGCCCAACTTTCCTGAAAAATATTTTGAAAATGAAAAGGTATGTAGAAGTCTTTACTTGCAAACTTAGAAGAGTTTTACAGATGTTTGTTTTCCCTGACATAAATGAGCACATATTTAAAGTGCTTTGTATACAACTACTTGTTAAAGCTTTAACAAATATGTACTTTTTAATTTTAAAAACTGTATAAGTGTGTTGTAATTTGTGTAAATATTTTGTAAGAATTGTGCAAAGTAATTAAAGATGAGATTAAGTTTCAGAACTTATTAAAAGTATTATAAAGCATTTTTATAAGAGGACAACTTTTTTGTTCTAAACATTTGTACTGAGTCTTAGTCTTAGGTAAATGTATAAATTATTAATTTTCATCTAGGTTACACTGACTTGCCGGCATCTTGTATCACATCTTGGTGGTATAAGACATTATGATAAACCATTTCTGAAATCAAATACAGACAGCACTTCAAAACAGGTAAATAATCCTATGCTTTCATGATGTAAAAGATGTCAGTAATTTTGACAAGATACAAATATTCTTGAAACAACAAAATAAAATATAAATACAAGCCTTACATAGATTTTATTTAGTGGAGGTTGTTGTAATTTTCAAGGCTTATTTAAAATCAAAGTTTACAGTTCAGTTATTCATCTCTTTTTTTTTTTTTATGTCTACAACATTGCTTATTTTTTTTGCTTTTTTATTTTGTTTCCTTTCAAAATCAAGGCAAAAAATCCATAAGTTTTGCCTCTCTTGGATTACATTAGGTCGTCAAGAAATTAATGTCGTGTTTTGGAACACTTTTATTAACTATCCCCAAAAAACGTACATCACATATAATAAATGAACCACCTAAACGTCATGTTAATGTAGCCTATATGTGTAAAGTTTAGTATGCTCTAATCCCTTATAGTGATGGCACACGATGACACACACATTTGGCATGTAATGCTGTTTCAATACAAGAAGGGAAACGATGCCTCTGTAACCAAAGAAGTTAATGGAAATGTTTTGGAAGTTCGTAAGTGTCAACGATGGTTCAGCAAATTTTGTTCAGGTGACTTT